TGATGATGCAGAGCATATTCTAGCCGCAAACATAAGCGCAGAACGCTGCTCCTTCTGGCCAAGCTCCATGGACCCCATAACAAATCTACAAGCCGGTTGAAATATTCAAGTGTCACTACATCCTAAGTGCCCCCTTTTCTAACCCAAAACAAGATAAACTGCAGCATATTACTTCGAACTGCATCTGTATATATATGTATATATATAAATATATATATATATATATATATACTTCGAAGATACAATGAGAGACAACGCCTGCACGCCGTTTCTGCAGGAAAGTTGCAAAAACGCGCGAGAGCGGCTGCAGCCTCAAAGCTCAATCAGCAGAGAAAGTTCAGGCTCATTGAAAACTATCTAGGCTGAGACAACTAAAGCTCCTTACCAAATGTGTACTGCTGCTTCTTTCATACTGAAGTACTAGGGCCCCTGACTAAGAAGCTGGCGCAGCTTTCGCTTGCTGTGCACGACCGCTGGGTGATGCACTCTCTAAGGGGGAGATTTATCAACGAACTACTGGAAATGGAACTTGTAAAAGTTTCTAAGAGAAAAGTGAACGGCTGCAAATAGGAATGCCACAACTTAACCCGAAAAGCTGAAAAAGAGTCTCGACTGCCCCTCTCTCTCCAAGCGGAGATTTGAAGGAGTGATGAAACCATCTTCCAACCAACGTCACTAAAGTGCAGCTCAGCTGCGCGTTTATTCGTCCTCAGCTGTATTCAGCCTGGCGGACTTGTTGAGGACGAGCACATTGAGCTGTTCTGCCCTCTCGATGATTTCTCTTCTCTTTCTGGAGCTGACTCCGGCGGCGATTTCTGCTGCGAATTTGGTGTTGTGCATCAGCAGCATGTCAATATCCTTGGCATTCTGAACGCGGAACTTGTAGAAGCCGTTCCTCAGCATGTGGCGGGTCCTCTTGTTCGACCCATAGCCGATGTTGGGCATCAGGTTTGTGCCCTTGAACTTGCGGCGCACGCGGCAGTCAATACCTTTGGGTTTCCTCCATGATGACTGCACGCAATCACAATCAGCAGAAAAAACAGCAGCTCAACGTAAATCTCCGGCATTTAGAAACGTTCACTGCATCAGGCCACAGACACTCCTAGTCATATGCAACAGCTAGAGATATACGAAGGAGATAGAGAAGGAATAGCAACACAGAAAATACTGTACGTACACTGAGGCGTTTATATCTGTCCGACTGGAAACGGTTAAAGCGCTTCGTGCGCTTCTTGACGATGCAGCGCTTCACGGTTGAAACGGGAGCCATCTGCAGCACAGCACACCAGGCGAGCGTACAGCCGAAATAGTATAAGAAGGTTCCCGAGAGAATTCCCCTTCCCTCTCTACACTTATACACAAATAGCAGTTGCATTACTCTGGCAGAGCTGCAGAAACAAGAACTACTTGGCGGCACCTCCACACGAGCGAAAGCGCTGCTGCGGCTACGGGGCAACCTTCTCCTGTGTTCCGACTGGAGAAATTTCGTCCTCTTTAATATTTTAATT